GTTGGATTAACAAATAAAAGAATATTTCAAATTGTACTTGAAGTTGTTATTTGTGCTGTTCACCCTGTAGTACGGTCGTTTCCTAATTACGATCAGATAATCATAGAAACATCAGATTCAACTTCAACTGAACCAACTCCTTATCCTTATTCTCATGTAGATATTGATGTTGCACTTGGTATACCAAGTGAGTATAGCGTTTCTTTTTTTGTTTTTGCTTCTGAAAAATTGAAATTATTTCTAAAAATAGTGTTTGCTCGTCTTTATTTATTATGTCGTGTTATTTTATATCATTCTCATTTGGTTCATGATGCGGCATCTCAATCAATTGGTTATCTTAGTACAGTATCATTCGATTTTCAGTTTGTTATTAAAACTTATCTTAAACAATATCCAGTACGTTGTTTATTGATCTGGTGTACGCTTCTCTTTTTTATTGGAAGTTGGTCTTTACATGCTTGTGAGTATAAACCTACTCATGAACATGCCCCATTCACCGATGGAATGTGGTTATTCTCTACAGTATTCACTACTGTTGGGTATTCAAATGTGACGCCATCCAGTCACTGCGGTAGAGGTAAGTGATATCTTTTCTCCAAGAGTGATAGAATAAATAGCTAAGTTTTGTTCTTATTATTAGTTATGTGTGGTTTAATTAATGTATTTGGTCTCCTTACAGCTGCGCTTTGTGTGGCGATAATTATACAACAATTAGTGCTGAGCCGATGCGAAAACTATGTGCACACTTTTGTTTTAAATACTGAATTAGTTAAAGAACATAAAAATCAAGCAGCAAACGTTATTAAATTTGCATGGAAACTATGGTTTTGGAAAAAAAGAAATACACCATTATCATCTATGCGATATCTTCAAACGCAAAGAAAATTATTTCGATCAATAGGTATTATTCATCAAATTAAAAATGAACAACAACATTTATCTGTTGATAATAATGGTCTACCTGAAATAGCGACTATAGAACGTAGTACAAATGTTAATACAGATGAAACATTACGAAAAATGCAAAATTTGAAACTGAAAGTGAATAAAATTGGAGAACATCTTACCAATGTGAATTACGCGTTAAATAATTCAGAAAATGTATTTTATTTATCTTTATGAACTCAATATTCAGGTCGATACAGTTGCAAAATAAAGCATATATATAAATCGAACAGTACAAAAGTAAAAATAACGTTGTATTCATACTAACCTAATTTCTATTTTCATGTTTTACTCGTTTTTTTTTAATTTTCTGATGTTAGATGGTTTTGAAATAAAATCTAATAGATGCAACTTTCTATTTGTTGTCGATCATAGATGTTGAATTTTTCACTGGACGATGGAAATGAATTATAAAGTAGTAAAAAAGAAATTGAGTTCTAAAATCATTTAGTTTCTATTTGTTTTTACTATTGGTATTATCGGGGTCTACGATTGAATTAGTTGTTGCAATTAACTAACTAAATGAAATCTATCTATTTGCTGATAGATAAGATTTTTTTCAACTTTTTATAATGTTAAACTTAATAGAAAAAGAAAGTTAATACGTTAACATGATAATAACAATAAATCTTGAGTTAACTGAGTTTTATTCAACATTGACTCATTTATCTTCTATATTATATATGTCGTATCGAAGTTACAACTTCGTCGTATAAACGTGACGAAGTTACAACTTCGACAGAGAAACTTGTCGAAGTTATTTTGAATTCATTTATCAATAAATAATCTATTGAACTGAGTATTCTACTGTTGAATATATGATCAAAAAATAAAATTTTTACTAATAAATATTAATTTTTGTAAGAATATTGTGGAATAAATGAACATTTATTAGTAAAAATTTTATTTTTTGATCATATATTCAACAGTAGAATACTCAGTTCAATAGATTATTTATTGATAAGTGAATTCAAAATAACTTCGACAAGTTTCTCTGTCGAAGTTGTAACTTCGTCAATATCGATCGACGAAGTTATAACTTCTTCGACCGGTGTAACTTCGATACGACATATATATATAACAAAACAATTTAAGCATAAATTGATGAGAGAAATTTATTTTATGAAATAATTCGATCAAAAATTTGTAAACATAATCAAATAAATAAGTTTTCTTTCGTTGGTTTTCTGTAGAATAACATTGATTGAAACTTTAAAAAAAAAACCATAACTTCTCGCATTATTTATCTTAATGAAATCTGATATTTAATTAAATGCAAACTGTACTATCAGACTGATTTCATGTTAAAATTTTTGTATATATATATATATATGGTTTCGAATGCGTTTTAAACATATTGAATTTGATTTTTTTTTCTGTTTAAATGAACTGTTGATGTTTGTCCTTGAGAAAAAGATGAAAAACATTGAAAATGATTGATTGATTGATTTAACATAGTGCATCTATTGAAGAGTAAAATGGAGAAGAAAAAAAACGCGTCGTCATCGTTTTTGCTCACTTCAGTTGACACAACAAACAAAATTTAATAATTGAATGGCAACAACAATAAAATAGTCGTCGTCGTCGTTGTCGTCGTCGTTGTCTTGGTTAATCATTAAAAAAATGGCATTGGTATCTTCATCATCTAATCTGTTATATGGTGATAGACAATCATCATCTTCATTTAATAAAAAAATTATGACTTTACCACGAATTGAACATCCATCAAAATTCATAAATGAAGAAGATAAAAATTCTTTAGATATTCGTGGAAGATCAAGAGATGGTCATGGAGATGGAAAATTAATAAGAAGTGAAACATCAACACCAGAATCTCGATATCGTCGTCGAAGATCATCTTCACTTAAATATTTTCCCAATTCTTCAATGTATTCTGATGAATTAAAACAAAAAAATGATTATGTCAATTCGAATTATCGACAAGATCAAGATAAAGTTCGTTTACCAATATTCGGTAAATTTCTTTTTTTTTTTTTTGTTGTTGTTAAATTAAATATTTTCATAATAAATTTCAATTAATTGAAGGTCATCGAGCAGAAAGTCGAACATCATCATCATCATCATCATTATCATATGGTGTTGAAAGTGGTAAAGCAAGTCCAAGAACATCACGTATTGTTATTGATGAACTTGAAAGAATGTTAAGAGAAAAAGTTCGTTTACAAATTCATGATGTTCGAACGAAATTTCGTCATGTTTCTGATGTTGATTCAAATGGAAAAATCTCTCGTCAAGCTTTACAACATATAATTGCTTCTATATTTGGTAGTCAACGACAAATAGGACCTAATCAAATAGATAAATTATTAGAACGTCTTCATTTAAAACATTTAAATAAAATAAGGTTGTTTTTTTTCTATTTATTTTTCTTTAATTTTTTTATTGTTTTGTGCTTTAAATATTCTTGAAGGTGATCCACCATCCAATGATGGACATAAATTAACTA